GTATAGTATTATTATTTATATTACATATAATATATTTGATTTTGTCGGATTTTCACATTCACAGCCACATTTCAAAAAAATTACGACCGATCGTTATTACCAAAGATCCATACTTATATGCAACAGTGCAACACACACACACACGTCTATATATATATATATTATATTAGCATAGATAAATTTGTTGTTCATATACTGTCCAAGTGTTCAACGKTCAGAGTTAAATTTCAGTCCGTTTAGTGCATTTGACGATTAAAATTGTGTCAGATAACTCGTAACTTTAATATGCTTAAAGTAAAAACACTAATTACGAGTTGTTTATAGATTTACGTAAACGATCGTAAAGATATTTTTAAAWCTGATTGTTCAATTTTGTATTGCAATATTTGTGAAATTCCAGTTAACGGACTACAAAGATTTTGGTTGATCAACATTTATCACGTGATAAACACAAAAACGATTTAMAATTCAATGAATCAAATTTWAAAAATACAAAACAAACTTTTATTTYTATAATATGAACGCRGATAACTTTTATGAAAATATTTTTCAGGCCTTTATTTCTGCAAATATTTCCTTTATTTAARTTATGACATCCATCTCTTTACGCTTTCCTAGAAAAATATATTAAATGATAAGTCGATCATTGTTTAACCTTTTTATACCTTTTTAATGCTTATTTTTTTTATATAATTTTAAACAAACTTCAACAAAATTTTGATTCGATTTTAATTGCATGTTTTGTAGCATAATATTACAGCATTTTTAGAAGCATATTATTCTGAGAATTTTTTGTGCATATAAATCCGGTCTCTAATTATAATACATAACACACGAGTACTCTATACTCCCGGCGGCCAGTATTAAATCGATATGATGATGATACGCCACGAATAATACATCCGGTTTTCTTTTTTTTTACACGTATCACGGTAGCTATATTTATATACACCTCTCGCGTGTATCTATTTGTCGCACGTCGGGCGTCGTACCTATACCGTCAATAAAATATATAATGTGTACGATAATTACACATGTACTGCTCTTATTATAATAATATATAAATATATRTAAGCGTAGGTTCGTCTATTATTATATGYATGTGTGTGTGTGTAGATTATAACATGTGATCGAAAAGATTTTTAGGGCCATTAATATTATTTTTATTCTTGTTGGTTTATCGAGATAAATAAAAAATAATCTAATAATATTGTTCCTTCTATCTCTCACTTACTTTCTCTCTCTCTCTATCTTCCTATACCTAAATACAGCTATAGTATGTACATTGTACACACGGAACGTCATCATGATGTAAATATATACAAGAGCATTTCCGTTCCGAGGTACGATGATATTATAATAGTGTGATAATATCGTAAACCGTTCATTATAGGTACCTATACCTACACATTATATTATATTATACCTAGGTACTCTGCACGTGTTTATAATAGGTATAGAAGATTTGCGCGCGTCCGGAAATGGCCGGATCTTTGTTGCGTGTATAATCACAATTCACAATATCAATATATAATATATATTATAAATACTTTGTCTTGCAGAGTGTGTGTTTTTTTTCCTTCTCCGAACACTACTTTGTAGCAGCAGTAGCCTCTTCATTACAGCAGGTACTCTTGCAGTGTTCGGTGTCGTGTTACGAAGCCCGAAAAGTTATGATATTATGTATATGTATATATATATGTATATATATATATATATATATATATAAATTATATACATGTTGTTACACATATTTAATATTATATAGTTGACGACGATACAAAGAAGCTGCGTGTTCGGTTTTTCATTTCGTTTTACCTACCTATTCGTGATCAATCTTACGTAGGATACCTACGTAAGTACGAAGTACTTCAATCAGTTCAATCGGTACTATGTATCTATATGTAATACCTATATATAATCGTCTACTCATCCCGTGGTTTACGTCATGACAAACATCGAGGGATTAGAGTTCGCACAAATGATGCGATATCATTACACCAGTCACCAATGGTTGTATTGGTTAAATTATTACACAGAATATGATCGTTTATTTATGRTAATACGTGGTATATTAAACCCACGCAACAGCATATTGTACTTAGTCTGGTAACGTCTTATACTGGTGATGACTGACTTGCTAGACATTTAAACACTATATTT